TTTTTGTACATTATTAAACTTTATTTAACAATAAATTTCACGGATTTTTCATGAAATATTTTTATTTTTTGTTATTTTCTGTTTTTTCAACTATTATTTCAATTTTTTAAGAAAAGTAAAATGCACCATCTTAAAGTAGAGATTTTAAGCTTTAAATAATGCCCTCACAAAGTTTCAATATCACGTTTACAACTATAGTTTTTGATCTATAAAGTATGGCATAAAAAGTAAAATTTGTGATTTTTTAAAATTATTGGATATGTTGGGCTCAATATTTTTCAAATTAAATTTTTAAGATTTTTTCCATATCGTTCACTGTTTCAATTGTCATTTCAAGAGTAATCTGTAAAAGTCTCAGATATTTATTTTAAAAATTAAAAGAAAGACATCTATTTTATTATTATTGTGCAAAATTATCGAACTTTGTATATGTACTATATATATTTTTTTTCCTCAAGTTTAAAGACATAAAATTTTGATAGCCGGATGACTCTTCTTTCATTTAAATTTTTGTGAGGTCGATTTGATCAATTAGATCAGAAGTTATAACAAATTTAGTGTAGCGCGCTCGGGACCGCCCGTCTCATTTTTCGTACGTTAAAAAAAATTCTACAGCCTTCAATTCGCATTTTAGAAAAAAACTTTATTAACATTTTTTATGTAAAATTTTCTGTTCTTTCGAATGGCGCAGTTAATTTTTTTAAAAATTAAATTTTTTTATATATTTTACAAAAACTGTAATTTTGCAACTAATTTGTTAAATAAATAATTTAGCGTACACTCTACAGTTGGTAACTTTTTATATGTTGTTTCTGACAACTTTACAAAGCGAAAAATAAAAAGTTCTCTCTTCCAGTAATTTTCGCGAAGTCAAAATCTATCTCGACTCCACTAAAATCCCGATTTTCTCAAAAACCGTTATTTTTTCGAAAAATTTGTAAGAGCAAAACATTTTTTAAATTAAATTTCCTGCAACACTGATAAAACTATTCAATAATTGGCATACTGGTTGCCCTATGTTAGGGCCTTGCTGAAATATTACTTCTTTTTAAAATTCAACACTCATCTCCAGAGGCCGCTCTGTGTAGGTAGAGTTACGAACCACCCTGTATATCAAAATAAGTTGCAGACTCATTCCTGACGTCACGTAACGCATTTGCGAGACATAACATTTTCTAATTAATTCTGTAGTAAAATGTTGTAAAACATATGTACACCACGTAATCTTCTTGTTCCCTTCATCGAAAACAAAGTACAACTCGTCCATAAGTCGCCTTTTGCGTTGTTAGTGCCCGCAAATCAGCCAGTCAATAAGAAAATCATCGAATAAGTACACACGAGATTTGTCGTTCTCATTTACAAGTGCATTCTTGGAGGTAGAACACTACTAACACATATTAGTGTGATCGGAGATTTGGTCTAGCTAGTTGTCTTTCTAGGATGGTCTGGGTTGTCGAAAATTTGACTCTTTTGCTGGTGCTGTCGGTGCTGGCTTTGTGGTACCTCCGTTACCTGTGGAAAAGGAGGAAGCTGTATATTTATTCCTGGAACATCCCCGGTCCAGTTGCTTTGCCCTTCATAGGGGCGGCATATAAGTTTATGGGAAGTCCTGAGGGTAAGTGTTCCCTAATTCTCAGGAAAAATATGTGTAAAAAAAAAATAGGGAGGTTATTCTTCGTTGAAAGTTAAGGGGGACGTTTTTTTGTTTGGATGTTTTTTTAATTTAACAAAAATGCTAAAAACTCTGAGGTAAGGCTTACTCATTCGCTCGTTAAACACAAAGCGTGGCAGGTGTCTAAAAATTGACAGGTACGTCACTGACAGTCGATGGACAAGATACAACAAGCGCAATTTGAAAATTCCCCTTAGGCACTTCTTAATCAAATCTCGTATCAAAAAAGTAGTTATACAGGGGTCCCGTAAAGTATGTTACAAACTTTGGGTGGTGATAGTACATAAAAAAATATGACTAAAAACTCTAATAAACATAACCTCTTAAACGCACCATTTTGAAGTTATAGGCCTTAAAAGGTGCAACTACAAAAGTAGTTTTTGTGACGTAACTCTTTGTTGGAAAAAGAAAACATAATGAAATTTTCAGGGACTAGTCAGCTTTAGGAAGCCAATAAATAATGTGGATATTAATAAAATTGAGAAAGCGGAAGGGTGTTTTTTTATCACCCTGTATCCTATTTTTTGCCAAAAAAAATTTTTCTGCAAAGATACAGCAAATATCATAAGATTTTTAGAAAGACCATTGAATTTAGAAATTTTTTTGTCTCTTGCATTTTTTATGTAAAATGATTAGTTTTCTAATAAATTTACAAAATGCAAAGGGAGTTTACTCACCGCTAGGTGTTAAATTTGACGTATTCAAAAAGTAGGCGCCTGTCACTTTTAACATAGTTGACATTTGTTACCATATTTTAATCGTGTCTGTTGACGAATTATTAATTTGTGAGTACAATGGCGGATAACAATCGTTTTACTAATCAAGAATATGCCGAAATGCATTTTATTTATGGATTATGTAATGGAAATGCAACAGCTGCTCGAAGAACATACATAGAACGTTATCCGCAGAGACGTCAGCCGTCTACACAATTATTTACTCGGATTCACAGACGGATTATTGAAACTGGTAGTGTGGTACCCCGTTACATACATTGTGGTAGAATTGCTAGAAGACTACCCGCGCAAGATGAACAAATTTTGAGATCTTTTGAACAAAATCCGGGAGAAAGTGTGCGAAGGGCAGCTAATCAGTTACAGCTTTCCAGAATGTCAGTTTGGCGTGTTTTGAAGGAAAACGGCCTTTATGCCTACCATCTCCAAAAAGTGCAACATTTAATGCCTGAAGATCTTCCCCGACGCCTAGAATTCTGCCGAATAATACTTAACCATCACCAACATAATGTGGAATTTATTAGCTCCATTTTATTTACCGATGAAGCCACCTTTACACGAGATGGTTTACTGAACTTGCACAATGCACATGCATGGTCAGACGAAAATCCTCATGCTACCATTGATAGTCATCACCAACACCGATTCTCAGTCAACGTATGGGCTGGAATAATAGGTGACTATTTGCTCGGGCCTTTCTTTCTACCTCAAAGGCTTGATGCAGTAGAATATTTAAACTTCCTAGAAAACCATCTCCCTGAGTTAATGGAAAATGTTCCTTTAAATTTGAGACAATACATGTGGTACCTCCATGACGGGGCACCTGCGCATTTCAGTGTTCATGTTAGAGAGTATCTACATATGCGGTTTCCTAATCGATGGATTGGAAGAGGATATAATGCACCAATAGCCTGGCCACCGCGATCACCGGACTTGAATCCTGTCGATTTTTATCTTTGGGGACACGCGAAATCTCAAGTTTATGCAACCCCTGTTGATACAGAAGATCAACTTAGACTGCGAATTGTAGAAACCTTTAATTTAATAAGAAATAGTCTATTCATATTCCAAAGAGTCAGATTTAACTTTATAAAGAGACTGACAGCATGTATCGATGCAGAAGGAGGTCAATTTCAACATTTATTATAATAACATATTTTGTTTTAGTTCTGTTTTGGTTACTTAATTAAAAAAATTATTTTGGAAATTGATTGTATTCTTAAAAATTCACTAGGCTTAAGAAATGTATGTAAATAATTCGGAAGCACTCATCTCTCTGCATTTTGTAAATTTACTAGAAAACTAAACATTTTACATAAAAAACACAAGAGACAAAAAAATTTCTAAATTTAATGGTCTTTCTAAAAATCTTATGATACTTGCTGTACCTTTGCAGAAAAATTTTTTTTAGCAAAAAATAGGATACAGGGTGATAAAAAAACACCCTTCTGCTTTCTCGATTTTATTCATATCCGCATTATTTATTGATTTCCTAAAGCTGATTAGCCCCTGAAAATTTCATTAAGTTTTCTTTTTCCAACAAAGTATTAACTCCAATTCAGTGTCGATCGGCCAGTACCTCCATAATTAGATGTCGTGCTTGTCTACAGTCCGGAGGCGCCCATTTTGAACAAAAAATTTTTCAAATTATTTCATTTTTGATTCACTTTTATATAAGATTAATTGGCAATTTTTTGGTTCTTTCAATTTACAAATAAACTGTTGTATACATACATATAACGCCTGTGTATGTAAAGTATTTTTCATATCACTGCTGTTTGTTAAATATTTTTTCTTATGTTTCTGTTAATATTAATTATTAAAAAAAATATTATTTAGCGAGTTATTGTTTCTCAGCTTGTTACATTGTTTTTCCTTCAAATGTATTGTTAAAGTTGTTTAGTAAACAACTAAAACATTGAATTTCTATTTTTGTTTTCTACTTCCCTTAAGAATGTGCATATGAAAAGATATTAATTTTTTGCTCGAAAACGAAGCAAGATATCAAAAAAGTAAAGAGACAAAAAGTTGTATTTTTAATCGCATAATTAGAAAAAAATATGACACCTAAGAAAAAGCAGTGACGTCTCATATGTTTACTTATTAATATCAACAAACATACCAAATTTGAAAAAAATCGGAATTAGGTTTCTCCAGATATTAGTAAAAACCTTGTATTTTCTCTAAATTTCAACACCCTGTATCTCCAAAACGAAGCATTTTCGGACATAGGTTTATAGGAACTTTCTTTCTTATTTTTGGTCAAGGAAACTCCCCCTGAATTTTTTCGCAATATTAATGGAACACCCTGTATATTTTTGTAGATATCTTGGAAAAGGTTATAAAGCAGGTCGAAACGTACCCCAGCCCCATGAAGACATGGCTGGGTTCACGACTCATCTTTTGTCTCTCCGATCCCCATCACGTCGAGAAAATCCTGACAAACCAGAAGTGTCTGGGCAAGGACTATCTCTACAAGTTCCTGATATACAACATCGGCACAGGATTATTGACAGCACCAAGTAAGTAGTTTTAATACAGAGCGGTCTATAAATACCGATAAAGAGGATGGGAACAACAACGGGGATGTCAAATTTGGCGCTCATTAAAAAAAAAACAGAAGTAGCAAGTTGTTTCTTCCACTACTATTTGAATTCGATTAAAAAAAACATGAAAAACGGGAACAAAAATTTTTCTGTTTTTATTTTTAACTTCGAAATGAAAAAAGATGGGTCAAATTTCTCTTCAGTCATAAAACTGAAGCTGTTCCTCAACTGAGATCCGAATAGTATGGAGCGAAAAACATACAAAGCAACTTTTCCTTAAAAAAAATCATTCAATCTACTATAGGTATGTACCTAAGAACCACCCTGTGTATTAAATTATAAAAGTGTCGGGAAAACTTGGTTGAAACTGCTTGATATTTTAGAACTAACGACCCTTAACTAGTGGAAAGTTGAAGCCTTGGTAATGTCCACTGTAACGGGAAAAAACATCGTTAAACCAACGATAATAGCCGAGCAAAGTCAGAACCGTATCTGAAAACGGTCGATGTAGAGTTCTATTGAAAAAAATATGCTAAATAGACAGTTAGTGGAGTCAAGATAGATTTTGACTTTGCGAAAATTACTGGAAGAGAGAACTTTTTATTTTTCGCTTTGAAAAGTTGTCAGAAACAACATATAAAAAGATACCAACTGTAGAGTGTACGCTAAATTATTTATTTAACAAATTAGTTGCAAAATTACAGTTTTTGCAAAATATATAAAAAAATTTAATTAAAAAAAAATTAACTGCGCCATTCGAAAGAACAGGAAATTTTACATAAAAAATGGTAATAAAGTTTTTTTCTAAAATGCGAATTGAAGGCTATAGAATTTTTTTTCTAACGTACGAAAAATGAGACGGGCTGCCCCAAGTATAGTACAGCTCTCGAAGAGCGCGCGGTCCAGAGCGCGCTACACTAAATTTGTTATAAC